ACTCAATAGCCTGTGCTTTCTTCTTTGATTTTCAACACATCGAGCTCTGATTTCTTCTTCAATTGTCGTTACCGCACTGATTTCGCACACAAGACTTCCTTCTCAAGCACAACCGGAGAATTCAAACAAAAGTTCATCGATTTTCCTGCATTCTTTCCCCATTTTCAAAAAATATATGCATAAATGGAAGAAAAATATACTTATTTGTAAGCTATCTAATCACTGAGTTACAAGCTCATATATTTTGTCACATCTTTCCTTATCAGATAGTGGCTAAGTTGAGCAGTATTGGAGCCTGTTGATCCACCGAGTTAAGCCACACTTTGTCTTTAATTGTATGACTCATTTTGTCAATTTACATAGTTCATATTTTTTTTGGATACATATATGTTTTGTCACAAAAGTTAAATTGTAATTCATGCATCCATATTATGGGCTCACTGCATATTGGGTATTTTGAGTACATTTGAGACTTTTGTTTGTAAAATATTAGTAAAGGTCGACTTCCTAGTATTGTATTTTGAATAGTTTAAGTTTTGAGGGGCTGTTGTACCATGTTTTAAATTATATGTACTGGTTGAGGATATTGATTATTGATCAGGTGATTTTAGCCTAGATTATAGGGGAAACTCTGTCAAATTTTTTATAGAAGTATGTCACAGTCAAAACAGGTCAAAGTCGCCTTGATGGTGGGTTCGGCACTTAGCTAGTATCTACCATCAGTGCACGACACGTGCGGGGTCCATTAGGAATCTATTTCTCCACATCTTTCAGTTTTGAACGGATCTAACTAAATCTAACATACGTTAGACATTAATGATTAGACAAAAAAATCATAAGAAGAAATCCAAATTGAAGATGAATAAGAAACATAAACAAACAAAGAAGTGATAGCATGACTCGGAAGATGGATTGTAGAGTATTAAAAGAAGAGAACTACATAATTTGACTCTGGTCTAATCCATTGTTGAATGTATACTAAGAATGATTTGTCTATGAACTATCACCGAGGGCTGTTTACAGGAAACATCAAACGAGCACTGTCGGAGCTGTATTGTCCAGAGAAATCCCCAGTGCTTGTATAAGGCCCCATTTGAATAGAATACAAGTCATTTGAGGTGCTTGGAGCAGTATAAAGATCTGATGCTTCACTTTGATTATTCATTAACCCAACATTTTCTTCATGCAGAGACTGATTAGCCCATGGATGTTTATTGAATTTCCTTAAACTTTCAAGTTCCATTGCCACTTCTTTCATTGTAGGTCTGTCTTCACCATCCAAGTACAAACATCTCTTGACAAGTTCGGCAATGGATTGGATTTGTTCTAAAGTTCCTTCCCTCAATACCCGAGGCTCAAGAATAGAAAACAAACGATTTTCTTTCATGGACATGATGAAATATGTAGCAAGATTTTTTTCTTCTTGGCGTCTCTGCATATCAAGGGGTTTTTTCCCTGTCAAAAGTTCTGCAAGAACTACCCCGAAGCTGTAAACNGTCACTTCAGTTTGATCCAAGGAGATTAATCTTGAAGCTCCAAAATCTGAAATTTTTGCAGTGTAATTTTCGTCTAATAATATGTTGGCAGACTTGACATCTCTGTGAATTACAGGCTTAGAGGCCGCTGAATGAAGATACGAAAGTGCACCAGCAGCTTCTGAGGCTATTCTCAAACGATTCTCCAGCGATAACCAAGTCATTGCACAATTACTAATGTGCTGGAAAAGAGTTCCATTCGAAACATACTCATAAACTAACAAAGGAACTTCTGATTCCAAACAACATCCCAATAACTTCACCACATTCCGATGGTTAACTTGTGTAAGAATAACCATTTCATTGACGAATTGCTCAATCTGGCTCTGATCCATAACTCGGGACTTTTTGATGGCAACTACGCATTTATCGGGAAGAATTCCTTTGTAGACAATACCATAACCACCACCTCCTAGAATTTGATCATGTGCATAGTTGTTCGTAGCTTTTTCAAGCTCCTCTGCTGTAAATATTTTCGTCCTTGATTCCATGCTACTTTCAATTGAAGAGAGGTTTTGTTCGAGCAACAAACCACCATTTTGCTCAAAGAATTTCTCCCTCATTTTTATGAGTTTCCTTCTGTTGATGCTAATATATAGACAAGTTATTGCAATAACTAATGTCAAGAACCCAAATCCAATACCTGCACATTGAATTTGTAAGAAAGTTAAGATTGAAATTATAAATTAAATAAAAGAATAATTGTTGATATTAATGAATCTGTATTCTGTTCTGGTGTGCTAAACAATTTCAAGAAATCATAAGAATTACCTAAGGAATACTTGATTACAGGAAATTTGGAGTTATAAGCAATGCAACCACGTCCATCCTTAAAGCCATCTCCATAGTAGCCGTGTGGACAAGAACAGTTAAAACCCCCAGGTGTATTAACGCAAATCTTTTCACAGTTGTTGTTGTTTGGATCTGCGCACTCATCAATGTCTGCCACCAAATAATGGGAAAAGTGAGTACAAATGAAATGTCAATCACAAGATAAAAGTCATTTCCTTAACGGTTGATACAAATTTTATGTTCAAGATATCTTCGCTTTTAGTAAAGTAATTCAACATGTGTCTACGGTAATTAAAAACAAACCTTCGCAGCCGGGGTGGAGATAAGGATTTCCTCGGAAGCCTTCGTTACAGCTGCAACGATAACCTCCAAGACCATTGTTTGTATCAACACAGAAACTATTATTTCTACAAGCATAGTCCGAGGAAAATTGAGCTTCGTCACAAGTTCTTTTGCTGAGTGCCCAATCTAGAACAATGGGGACAGTTTTCTCGATCCTCTCCTTGAAATTGGTATCCAAAAAATCTTCCACGCCACGGAAGGTGAAACTCTCCTGCTCGCCGAGAAATGCATAGCCGCAGGGATTGAATGATACGATGCCTGAGTGATTATTAAAACTATGCACGCTGCTATCGTAGTACTTCAAGCTCTTTGGCACCGGTGTTTGGCAGCAACCAATGCCGGAACAATATCCGTCCAGTACAGCTTCGGTGCTGTAACACTGAGAATCACACCCAATAGTGAAATTCTCGATGTCTTGGCCGCCCATCATGTAAGCGTAGTCATCGCACCCGATCATGGTGAATTTGTTGGATTCTGAGAAACTGAATGGTGTCATTGTAATATTTGTCCACGCAGTGTTTTCGTCCACGACGACTCCGGATTCATCATAGCACTTTTTCGCCACTACATTTGCAACACGCATTTGATTATCGGAAATATTGTAAATTTGGATATTACCCTGTGCAATGAACGCCCGGGGGGGATTGAAGGCGGTGCTGCAGTTGACTTCAAACCACTCACCGATGGCACAGCCGCTTCCTATCCCGATGCCGAATGGGTATGGGACTGTCAGATTTCCGCATCGGCGTGGGCAGTTTGGCTTGGTGATGTTGTCTCCTTCGGTAATGGTGGTGTTTGAGGCGGACGAAGAATTTGTGTTGGCTGTAGCTGATATAAGCCAAAACAAACAAATACAGGTAACCCACATCAAAAATTTCTTCTCCATGTTTATGAGTGGTTGCATTAACGGAAGCAAATTAAGGATAAGTATATATACACTCAATCTGTCTTGTTCTTCAAAGACCTAAATGAGACAGCTCTACTGAGAACTCAGCGTAATAATTATTCATGACTCCTGGAGTGAAGACCACTAAGAACTCCGCGTAATATTTATTCATGACTCCTGGAGTGAAGACCACTCAACCTGGCAAAAGAAACTTATCCCCTACTTCACGGAACTTTTTGAGATTAGGAACGTGATTAAAAATAAAGTTTGATTATAAACTGATCAAATTCTATTTTCATTCACACTTTCCTAATTGTCTTGTTATAAGGCTTTGTTAAACATATACAATTTATAAAATTAAGTTAAAGTCAAACATTTATTTCAACCACATATTCATGATTACAATTTATTAAATTTCACATATTTTCGTGTCATTCACTACTATTAATCTTACTATTTTTATTTATAAACCAGTTATACATTTATTAAATCTAGTCTTGTTCGGTATTGTGGTGATTAGCACCATTATAAGTGATAATTGACTTATCGTTGATATTAGATTAACGTTATTAAGACATCGAAATCATCGCTAACTCATACTTGGTCGAACTACGCGCTATTGACTAGTAGACTCCGTAAATGAATGAAACAATATATTCTTACGGATTTGGATGACTTTTGTTGTTTAACGACGACTTCGAGTTCGAGTACACCACGTGGCTGTGGAATTGGCCAAATCCTCCCTGAAATAATTGAGCAGCCTTAATAGCTGCATCAAAGACAGACTTTTGTCGTTTAACGACGACTTTGATGGAAATATAACTAATTTTTGTAGGAAAAAAGTAATTAAAAAACTGGGTCTTCACCTGATTCCATTGACAAAGTCTAATTTGACATTATTTATTCCACTTGTATTAACCGTGTCACGTTAATATTGGAAGCAGCACAATAATTTGGCTGGGAAATTAAATATAATTCGTGCATAAAAAATACGAACATTTTTTATCATATAGTTGTGACTTTTGACCTTTTTAATATGTGACTAAAATTAATTATTGACTTTAATTTTTAAAAAAATTCAAATTTACATCAAATAGTACTTAAGTTACTTGTGACGACTGCATCATCACATTTTCTTTCTCACCTATTGAGACAAACAAAAGACATTTTCTTTCTCCCCAATTGACAAGGGATTATCTTGAAATTCCATTTCAGATTTATGTCCTACAAAGATCACACAGATATGCAAATGCCTTCAACAAGTTCAATGATCTCTTATTTAGGTCTTAATGCTTTAGTATTACATGATATTTGTAGCTCTTTTAGTAGATGTAAATGCTGATTCTTGCCATTTTGCGCCAAGATTTTTTTTTTTTGGTGGGGGAAATGAATGTTGAAATAGTGATTATTTGAAGAACGTATGGTAAAAATGGAAAAAAATTTTGAATTTATATGTATAATATTCTACTGTGTAAAAAGATTTTTGAAGTACTCATGACCTAATTTCTCCCATCCCTAACAACGTGCGAAACGACCAACCGTAGCGAAAGTTACCGCTCGTCGAAGCATGCCGTTCCAAAATTATATTAAATTATATTCCATTGAGACCATTTCTGCAAATTACCAAAAGGTTCTAACGGATGTTTAACGGTTTATAGATGGAAGGACCAATTCTGCAAGAAACGTTTGAAATAAGGGTACAAATGTCAATTTTAAAACGATATCGACCATTTTAACAAAGAGTGTAAACGTTGGGGACTATTTATGCTAATTACCATTTTTATTAGGTCTAGTTTTATCAACAAAAGCATCATGTCAGAATAAAAAAATTGGTGGATTTGCACTGGAGGTTCCAAACCTTTCAAAAGAGTACAGATAGCATCCAAATCTCTAAATCGTAGTAGTTAGTCCCAAACTTTAAAAATGTGAAGTAGAAGAACCGTTGGAGAGTTTTCTTTCCAAAATCCATTATTTGACAAAAAATCAAGCTTTTGACCAAAAAAAAGGCAAAATTATCTGTCAATTAGACTTAATTAATAAAAAAGGACATTTTAGATAAGAGATTTTACATACTTTTTAATATTTTGATTACTAGAAGCTTATGATGTTTTGTTAAATGTATATTCTTTAAACAATTACAGTCTTCTTTTCTGTGACGTTTATAAAATTTACTATCTTCATATTCTTTAAACTACAATTCAAAGAAATACAAATTAAATTTTAATAAATTAATAATGTATTGAGAAATAAAGTTTAATTTTTCCAACATTACAAAATGAATGGGGAATGGGTATTAAAATGATATAATTGTAATTGGAAAGACAAGTTTTGATTGTTATTATAATGATATAATTGTAATTGGAAACAACTGCAGACAAATTCATCTCGAATTGACAAGTAGCACGGGAATTAGCTTGGAGGGAGTATTTATTGAAGGAATTCTCATTTCTACTTCGAGGAGTGCCCTAACGTGGTGTAATAATCTAAATGCAAATGCTAGAACGAAGAGATGCACGTGATATCTTCGTGCAAAATCCGCAAACGTATAAAATCGTTGACAAGTAACAGATTTAATAAGTTGAGAGTATTGTTCCATAAAAAATAAATTCAATTCAAGTTTACTAGTTTCTTATGGAATTCAAATTATGTAATACTAATAGTTTTTTTATTTGATTTATCCTAATAAATCTAAAAAAAGCTGTAAAAGTTTGGTTTTTATTAAATTATGGATGATTGTATTGGATTTCAACTCTGCCTATTGCTATCTATTTCAATTCTTGATTTATAATCTAGTCTTGTTCATGCGATTTCGACAATTGATAAAGCTAATATATTTACTTTTTCTTTTTTCAAGACAAATTAAATTTATTCTAGTCACGACCATAATCTATTTCTAACCCAAATTCGAATGATTATAATGCATTAAAATTTAAATTATCTATATGATTGCACACATGATAAATTTTATTCTTAACATCTATTGCATATATGTTCATTTTGTCGCGTTCTAAATTTATTGTGAATCTTTCAACACGTTCTAAATTTATTGTGAATCTTTCAACACCACAACAAGCAACTAATTATCTAATTAGTGGCCAAACAATTAAACAATGCAATTGGTGTACAAAATTAATCAAGAAAAAAAACTAAATTACTAGTCTTGAATTAAAAATAAATAACAAATATGGTTCATCTTCATCCAATACAAACAGGATCTAACCTAATATATTTTTAAATAAATTACAAGAAAAATAATAGAAAAATATAATCCAGATCATACAATAATTCAAAAGATTTTGATCTTTAATTTTAATGTTGAATTTTTCAAAATCTTGATGTAATTAATTTCAATTCCTTATCAGGGTTTAATTTTCACTCTCAAAATATAGCAATTGATCACTTTATCTCGATAAATTTGATGATGTATGACTTGCTACTAGCATTTGTCACGTGGCCAATCCATAGAAGTTATAGACTTATTCCTGCCGAACCACCAGCCATAGAAGTAGAGACCCAGATGGTAATTTTCGAGGCTCATTATTAATTCGAGGTGGACATGTCAAGGAGGCCCAGATCCAAGGCCCAACTTGTCCGAGGCTCAACTCCAATTAGTGACGGTCAACGTACAGAGATATTAAATTTATTATAGAGATCTTATTTGAGTGATTGATGTGACGTCTGTAAAAAGTGTATTTGTTTCTTGTATTGTCAATATGATATGAGAGCATTAAATGCTTTGCATATCTAGGAAAGTCAATATCATGACTAGGATTTGATGTCTCGATTGAGGAGATGAGGCCACGTGTAACCATCTAAGGGTTACCATTCTGTTTGTAATACTATAAATATCTCCACCATATAACAATTGAAGACTAATGCAACTTTAAATACTTGGAGCAATTGGTTTTGCAATTGAGTAGAAAATTTTCAGCCTTGTCCAGTACCGATGCATACTTTTTTAGTCAGTAGACGTTTAGTCTAGTCATAAGAACTTTGAGGACACTCATAAATAATCATTAAACATTTAAAATGATTTCATAAAACAGTTTTTTTCGTTTAAAGAAAACTAGTCAGTAGACAGTAAAGAGATTTGAAAGAAGCATTCCAAATTGAAAACATAAGAGGAACAGAAAAGTTGAAACAAATAAGTGATGACTCGTAAGATAGATTGTACAGTATTAAACAAACGCAATATTATTGACTCATCTCCAAGCCATCGTCGAATGTAAACCAAGAATGATGTCTATGAACTATTATCATCGAGGTTGTTTACATCATTACATGGAACATCAAACGAGTACTCTCAGAGCTGTATTATCCAGAGAATTCTCCAGTGCTTGTGGGCTCATTTGAATCAAACACAAGTCATTTGAGGTGAGTGCAACAGTATAAAGATATGATACTTTACTTTGAATATTCATTAGCTCAACATGTTCTTCCTCCGCAGACTGATTAGCCCATGGATGTTTAGTGAAGTTCCTTAAACTTTCAAGTTCCATTGCTACTTCTTTCATTGTAGGTCTATCTTCACCATTCAAGTACAAACATCTCCTTACAAGTTCAACAATGGATTGGAATTGCTCTGAAGTTCCTTCCTTCAGAACCCGAGGCTCAAGAATTGAAAACAAACGATTATCTTTCATGGACATGATGAAATGTGTTGTAAGATTTTTTTCTTCTAGGCTTCTCCGAATATCAAGGGGTTTTTTCCCTGTCAAATTTTTTGCAATAACTACCCCGAAGCTGTAAACGTCGCTTTTTCTGTCAATTGACTCGTGTGGAAGTACTCGGGATCAAGATATCCGATTGTCCCTTGGACTAACGTTGTCACTTCAGTTTGATCCAAGGAGATTAATCTTGAAGCTCCAAAATCTGAAATATCTGCTGTGTAATTTTCGTCTAATAATATATTGGCAGACTTCACATCTCTGTGAATTACAGGCTTAGAGGCTACTGAATGAAGATACGAAAGTGCACCAACAACTTCTAAGGCTATTCTCAAACGATTTTCCCACGATAACCAAGTTATTGCACCCTTTTTACTGATGTGCTGGAAAGGAGTTTCATTTGAAACGTACTCGTAAACTAACAAAGGAACTTCTGACTCCAAACAACATCCTAATAACTTCACCACATTCCGATGGTTAACTTCTGTAAGAATAATCATTTCATTAACGAACTGCTCAATCTGACTCTGATCCATAACTCGGGACATTTTTATGGCAACTATGCGTTTATCAGGTAGAATTCCTTTATAGACAATACCATAACCGCCTCGTTCAAGAATTCAATCATCTGAGTAATTGTTAGTAGCTTTTTCCAGCTCCTCTGTTGTAAATATTTTGGTCCTTGATTCCATGTTTCCTTCATTTGAAGGGATTTGTTGTCTGAGTAACAAACCACCATTTTGCTGAAAGAATTTCTCCCTCAGTTTTATAAGCTTCCTTTTCTTGAGGCTAAAATATAGCTAAGTTACTACAATAACTAGTGAACAGCTGTTACAAAAGGGCGAAATGAACAGCTGAAGGCTGCAAATATCAATCATGACGGGGATGATACAATTAGCAATTGATTGATATGTATTAATCATTAGATAAATGGCAAACAAACCTCATCCCTCACAACCCATAGTTCACTTAATCTAAGTCCAAATATTCTGAAGAACTCTGAGTCAATTTTACTCTATTTTGTATCAAAATTACAAAATGATTTACATTTATCAGTCAAAGATTCATATTCCCATAATTCAAAATTACAATTGAATTTAATCACAATTAAACTTTCAGTTATAAGTAGTGGTGGAGCCGCACCTGACGAGCTGACGCGATCGTTCGTGCTGGCTCCACGGGAATTTAGAGTTGCCATCGGGAACAGCCAGGCAGTGACGAGAAGCTTGAATCGGTGGAGGCGGAGACAGATTGAAGAAGAAGAAGAAGATACAGCCCAACAAGTTATAGAAAAATTGAAATTTTAAAAATGCAAAATCGGGTATTTAGTTAATTAATTAAACATATTTTATTAATTAAATATATTAAAATCAAAATTATACAATTCATGGTCACATATGCATATTTACGAGTCACAATTAATTTGTCTCAAATTATTTCGAGGTCACAAATCAAAAAATTTATACGTCACTATTTATTTCATTGGTCACGGACCAAAAAAATTATAGGTCACAATTTATCTATCGATCACATATTTTTAAATTTGTTAGTCACAAATTATTTTTTAGTCACAAATTATCAAAATTTAAGGTCACATTTTAATGGTTAGTCACAATAAATCAAATAGTTGATCACATATACCAAACACCCCATCCCCGATCCCGATCCACCAATACTTGGTCACAATTAACCAAATAATTGGTACAAACGTTATCCTACCACCGTCCCCACCAAAACACAACACCGCCACCGCCACCGCCAACACACCACAACCACCACCACCACCACCACCACAGAAACATGCACCATCGTTGCCAACAACAGAAACACACCACTATCGCCGCCGAAAACTATCGTCGTCGCTACTACCCACAAACGTATGCTCCAAACACTACATACCAGCTCCACCTGCAACTTCAATCAACCACCAACAGCAACACTCTACAAACCGCCATCACCTCACATTGTCTTCGCCGCCTCTACTATCGTCGTCGTCGTCGTCGCCGCCTCCACCATTTTCAGCCACCACCACAACTACCATTTCCAACAAACAAATAAGATTCAAACTAGATCTCGTCACCATCACTACGACCACCAAATTCGCCACGACCACCAGATCCGCAAACACACCTCACTGCAACCACTAGATCTACCACCCAACACAGTCAACAGTCCACAACCATACCAACCAGAAACAAATGCGGAATAGAGAAAAAAAGGCAATGCCACTGTCGGGGCTTACAGTACCAGCTGCAAGGGAGCAACACAGAAACAACGATGCCGCTATAGCAGTGGCGAGGGCAATGTCGTTCACCCAATTTTTCGATGGACTGCAGCGCCGCTTGCTGCTCACAAGGAGAGATGGGGGAGAGAGAGAGAGAGAGACGAGAGAAGGGGGGAAAGAAAGTGTGAAAGGAAATGGCACAATGATGCCAAGTGCCCATTGGGTCTGTTGAGTTGGCCCAGCTGGATTATAAATGAAAGCCTAGCTATTGTTTTGTTTGGTGCAAAAACATGTTTTTGGGAAAGCTTGAAATCGTGTTTTTACTCACCTGTTTTTTGGACGCCCCAGATGTCACCACGTGTTGCCTCCAACACCGTTGGATTGGTGACTGTTGAGTGACTCATATAAAAACGGGCTTCTAGGGTTTGAGACTTCATTTGGCTTCGAGATACTTCTACTCTCACACACTCACTGCGCCGTTTCTCTCGAACTCTCTCTTCTTTACTGTAGAAATCAAATATTCTCATTTGATTTCTTATTTTCTCTCAATAGTGTGCAATCTTTAGTGATTTTCTTAAGCAGAATCTGTTCTTGTGTGAACTATAGTGTACGGTTGAAGAGAAAACTTGAATCTGTGACATATTGGGCTTGTCTGAGTGCAATCTCTTTTGTATTCTTACTGTTGGGGTTTGATTCAAGTTTATAACTGTGGTTATTCGAGATTGAGGCGTAGATTGTGATTTTTGGCCTGTGGGCTTGATGAATAAAGATAAGTTCCTTTTTGCAGTTTAGTCTGTTCGTATTTTGGCTTATTTAGTGTTCGGTTTACAGACTATTGTTCTTCATGATCAGTTATTGCTTGAGTTTCTGATTTCTGTTCCTGTTGTTCATAATTTCAATTTGCTTAGTTTATGGTTTTACATATATAATTTGTTGATTTGTAAGCTAATCATTGTATCTCCTCCCAACAAAGTGAGTTGATGTTTTAATATTAATATATTTATTAAAATATAAAATTATTACCCGACTTTTGAATTAATTAAACTTTCAACCTGATTTTTGAAATCAATCTTTAAACACCTGGTTTTTTTGTAATTTCCACATAAAAAAAGTAGACCAAATATCAATCCAATCAACTGATTTTTATGGACGTGTTTGGTTATATTGAAAATCAATTTCATTCCAATTTCCACAGATTCTCCAATTCCCAAAATCAAAACCCGTACCTGCAAAGTGCAAACCTACGCCTGCAATTGACCCTATGATTGTCGCTGCTACTGCCTACCGATGAGTCGTCACCAGTCTCTCCTGTCTCAATTCGGCAGTCCCTGTGAGTACACACTTTTTTTTGTTTTTGTTATTTTAATTCTTTTTTGAATTATCATTAATGAGTTATTATTTATGTTTTATGAGTTATGCTTGAGAAATGAGAATTGTGAGTTGCGATAAATAATTTATGTTTTATGATTTATTATTTATGAGTTTTGATTTATGAATGACAATTTGGAGGTTTACATGGAGAGAGAGGTTTTGGAAAAATTGAGGATGAAATAATATTACAACGTTTTCAAAATAAGAGACTCCGTAAAATATAGATGTCTAAGTTTACAATTGCGGAGTATTTGTATTGTGTATTTTTTTTATTATTTTGGGTTATACTGAATTATATATTTTCATATGTATATGATTTTTATGTTTTAGTGCATTTATTTATTTATGTATGTATGTGTACGTGTATATATATTGAAGAATTTTTAATATTATTTAATTAAATATTAATAAACGATCTCGCTAATACGATGATTAATTGTCAATGGTCAACGCTGGCTCTCATTGAGCTCCAATCCTAGATTGGACACTGGTTATAAGCTAATATAGCATTCGAATTGATTATCAAACACTCAATCCATGGAATTAGATTAAACTTTAATAATTCGCACTTGATAATCAATAGAATATAATAATCAATCACACACATTATTCAGCCAGTATCTGGTCAATTGCACCCTTTCCAGTTTCCACGTGAATTTTTACCGGACACAAACGTAGTTTTTGTAGAATAAAAGAAAAATCCATAACACAAATTATAAGAAAGAAAGAAACAGTAAGTAGACCATCACTAAACATTTCTAAGCACATACATTTAATTATTGTTTAGCTAACTCGCTCAAACCAAGAGTGATTTTCCATTTAATGAATATTTAAAACCCTTTAACTAATTAAATAAAGAAAAGTAACCAACCTCGAATGGCGTGACAATAACAAGGGATCCGAGAACGCCCGCCCCAAATCCGGAAAGAAGCCTCCGGTGGTGACTGAGGTTACCCGTTTGCGAGTCCTTGAACACCAATTGTAGAACCGCATTGGACCCCATTCGAAGCGCATACTTCAAAGTCAAATGCGTGGCAAAAGGAGTCAATCCTTTCCATAAAGCCCATACACCTTCATTTCGGGTAATATTGGTGCTGCAGTGGATAATTCCCTTGTACGAACCGGAGCGGTCCAGCTGGAGACGGGTCTTGATGACGTCAATGGACTGTAAGCAGCACGCCTCCATTACACCTCCCAGTGACCCCGATAGCGCCTTCATGTACGGCGGGATTGTTTTTTTGCTCTCATGATTTTTTTATGCCATTGGAGGACTGAAGGAGGAGGGGAGGGGGAACGGTATCGTCGGTGGAGTTTAGACTTTAGATCCTCGGCCTTCTCTTCTTCGCCTGAATGAAGAAACAAGTTAAATGTTTCATTAGCCACTGAACTTTGTACCATATCACAGATTACTTAATGAACTTTCAAACTTATCCCAGTAGGCACTGAACTTCAATCCGTTTCTACCCATCACTCACCGGCTGAAATCTGTAAAGTGACGTGCCTACGTGGCAGATGGAAAGTCTAGTTGTCCAGTTTAATCAGTTCAAGTGTTTAGTGTTTTCCCAATCAGCCTTCACGTCGGCCCATATAAACACGCATTTGCCATATTCATTCACGCCGTTTACTTTCATTCACCCTCAATTTCATTTCATTTCCTCTCCTGCAATCTCATCCCACCCAACACGAGATCGAAACCCTAAATCCCCCAAATCAATTTAGGATTTTATTTGAAGTCAATAACCATCTTCTCCTAGATCTCTCGAACCCTAATCAATTTAGGATTTTATTTCGCAAATGGCACGAGAAGTATACGTGCCCATAGCCGAAGAGCCTTTCAATTTTTCAGGGTAAATGGTAGTATCCCAAATAAGGTAAGATGCTCCCAATTTTTTTATTTTGGAAATTAAAAAATGAAAATATAGTGGTTTATAAATTGGTTGATATAGTGAAATTCCTGTAATCATGTCTTTGTTATATACATTAATAAACCTCCTTTTTTTTTTTTTTTTTGCAAGAGCATTTTATAATGGGAGGAAAGAACAAAGGGGTTTGTCATGGTTGAAGGTGTTGGGAATTTACTTAACATGCACAGCGGAAAATTAATTATTTCTCAATTCTCACCACGGATCTTCTTCATGTTTAGATAGAAATTGTGTTGAGAATAATACCTTTGATAAATTCTGCAAACTCTTTTACTGATTCCCTAAACTCCAATGATCACGATCTGCAATCCAAACTGTCCAATTGTCCAGCCTGCAATGGTGATCCACACAGAGAACAAGAATAACGGCTAAGATTTTACTTTTCTTGTGTTAGCAAGAATAATGAAAAATCTCTACAATTTACAAACCCTAGCAGCCTATTAATATAAGCCCAAGTGGGCTGGCCCATCTCTAAACTTAACCCGGTCTGATATTTAATTAATCAAATTAATTAAATACGGTCTATGAATTAATTAATCCAATTAATTAATTAGGGTCGATTAATAAGCAACTCAATTAATTAATTGTCCAACACTTGTCAATTAATTAATTGGTAAATTGCATTCTTCTGGTTCTCTTTTGTGTGTGACCAATTAGGTTCCCAATCACGATGTCTAATAACGTGAATTATTATTTTGATCTAATCAAAATCGATAAATTAAAAACCCCTTTTAATTTATTACTAATTCACATTCGTCGTTCCAGATTGACATCTAAGAATGTGTCAGGGTAATACATGTGATGAGAAATGTCACGTGATGTGACAAACCAAACTTGTTCGTTTACCGTGAAATTATAATCATTTCGTCAATATGATCCAATCAATAATGAGATATGGATACGTGTCAATCTCAATTATCGAT